TTGCGTACACAGGTCTCTAATAGGACAAAACGACTCCTCACATCCAGCCCGGTGCAGCGTGGTTTATGAACTGTCACCGAGATGACGGAGGAATAGCAAGTACAGGGAGTAAATCTCAAAGTATTTAAGTACACGATTGCAGACGTATGCGTTAAATATTCTGTTTGCCTGTTCGTGTCCCACGCTTTCCCATCTATACAGTATGTGAGGTGAGGTGAGGTGGGTGAGCAACGACAGTCACCGTGGACTTTTTAGAGCAGCCAGAGGGGCAGCGCTGAGCTCTTAAAAATAACCAATTCTCATCTCATCTGCAGCTGACACGCCTGACCTTGGACCATTATCACCGCAACACACACACACACACACACATTCAGGCAGTATAGCCGGACCGAGAAAAAGAGAAGGAACACACACTGTAATCAAGTGTGAAGGCAAATGTAAACACAATCGTACTTCTGAGAAGACGGAGGAAGGACACCGCCGCACGCTGTGTCTGTTTATGTACACAAACGTGAAGTAAAACTCCAAATACTAATGTATCCCATGAATTTACAGGTCAGTTTTATAAACACATATTCAACATGTCAGTGTTGCCAAACAGAAGATTAAACCATCTAATGGTGCAAAGGTTAAAAGGTCAAAGGGATCAAATCAGAACAAATTAAACTGCCAATCAGCACGAGTTCCTAATGTGGGACAAATAATGAAATATGTTTTTTTTACTAAAGTTAATTTGCCTTTCTACCTCCCTGTCCATAGCTCTGCACCTCAGAGCTGACCCCGACCCCCACTTTGGAGACCATTCTGTTAACAGGATTGGATAACTCGACTTTTCATTCACCTGAATATAATCTGTAAATTTGCAAACAATCTTAATTTATCTTTTTCTAATTTCCACCATGGTGGATTAAGGAGTACGTGCAATACAAAATAAATTTACAATAATTGCCCGACTACACCACAGTGTCCTCGTTGCCAACACCAATCTATGTCAACCCCAACAATTTTTTGAGGGGCGGGGGTACAGGGGGGAACTCTTACCATCTGGCCTAAAAGAACAAACACTGACGCTGGTCTATTTTCTGAAAGCCCTGCCAAAACAGTTCCATTTGGTGAATAGCTGGTCCGGTGAATCAGATAAGTTCATGCTGCTCCTAAGTTAGGGGGCAGATTAGGACGATCTCCCCGGAGTTGCCCAAGTCTCCCTGAAGAGCACGGACGGGTTTGTGCGACTTTCATGGTAACAAATACATCCTATTAACAGCCCTTCACCCAGATGATCACCTTTAAACACACACGCTTTAACAGCACACAGTAAAGTTTATCAAGTGTAGCCGCTTTAATTTTGTCTCGTGCGCGGCTCATACTGACAGCCAGGATCGTTACTATCACAATAACAGAGGGCTGATCATTAAAGCCCCAGGTTAATTACAGTGGGTATTAAATTACTCCTCTGTAATGACCCCCCAGGCCTCATGATCACGGCTGCTCCTTCAGACTGTGGACGGGTTTTTAATGTTTGGCCTCAGCCTCAGGTGATGATGTTTTGATCATTTCAAAGCAATGATTAAAGATTTCACGAGAGCAGTCACGCCTTCCTGTTTCATTACAGCCGGGTTGGACATCAAAACATTACAGCCTTGTCCTGCGAGGACCCCAGAGTACACACAGTACACACAGTACCTTGTTGACCTCCGTGATTTCTCTCCTGTCCTCTGCCGCGGAGCGACTCTGTCCACCGGGGCGGTCGTCGTGTTTGGAGCCGTCGTCTTCCACGAAGGGTATGAGTTGCTGGACGGAACAGAGAAACACAACAACGTGACTATGGTTCACCTTGGACCAGCGTACGTTGGCGAACTGTAGAGGCCGCTGGGACATTAATGGAATTATCATTGGATGTTCCAGCAACGAATATAAAAAAATTCCAAATCAACGTCCTTCATATCATAGCCATCAATAAAAGACAGCATTCACTGAGTTCATACTGAACTCCAGACCTCCATATTCTGAGTTATTGACAGTACACTTTACTAGAGTTTTACACACTACTGCTCATGTTTTTTATCTATATATTTTAATGCAATGTATTTTTTTATTATTTTTAATTCTGGAGATCCTGGAAGTGCACTACAGTATATTGCTGATTTTATTTACAACATGCCAGTCCCTGGACTGAGAACATGTACATGTACGTTGGTCCTTAACTCAGCACAAATGCACCAAAAAAAACACAGCTAACAGATAAAAGAATTGGTGTAAAATTACCATAGCTTGACTTGCCTTCAGGCGGCCAAGACCTTAAGACCTGCGACTTCATTTGCATAACATCACCGTGTTTTTAAAGCTGGTAATTTTCTACAGCTTTTTGTACCTTTGTGAACAGCTTATGTAAATAAGGCTCTCATCGGAGAGGAGATGTATTCACTGATGCACCGTTGGTGTGTCCTTTCCCTCCTCTTATTCATCTCCTGGTCTGAATACATTAAAAGTACTGTACTGCATTTTTGTACATCTCTCTGTTGGGGACCTGCAGCAGCGCTGCTGAGTTATGGCGGCGGCGGCCGGGGTCTGACCCGTGAGCTGCACAGGAGATATCCCTGCGGTGTCTAATCTTGTTCCCGTAAAGTGGTGAAAATGGGGATTCTATGTGAAGCTCTTGACCACAGGGTTGAGTCTCACTCGTGAGTCTTTAATGTGGAGAGAGAGAAACGGGACAGAGGCTGAGAGCAAACGAGGGAGGGAGGAAGGGAGGGAGGGAGAAGGGTGAGGAGTGAGGGGTGGGGCAAGTGTTGTGAGATTAATTCAGTTTTAAATGCTGTGTGTTCTTGACCTTGTCTTCTTGACACTACAGCGAGGTCGACGTGCAGACAGGGCTGCCTGTCACTGCATCACACTGCCCCCTGTTGGTCAGGGATAAGGAGAGCAGTGAACATAGTGATTCTACATTGGTAAAGCCAAGGATATAGGAAGATATATGGCACAATATGTGATAAATGTTAGACTTTGTATTTTTGTGAAGCCGCAATACAAGATCCAAAGGTCCAAAAAAAAAAAAAAAAATAGAGCCTGGTATGCAGTGCATGCAGTGCAAATGTAGTCAAACGTCTGTGCAGCCTTTCCAGGAAATACATATTATCAGTTATGTTGACACTAAGTCAATTTTATAGTTTTACGCTCGCACAATCTACGGCCTAATTCTCCTGCGCAGGTCTGAGACAAATGAGACCGCTTTTAATGTGTTTGCAGCCACAAGGACGTTCTGCAGCAATGTTTTACAGTGAATGCTTTCAAAAAGAAAATTCCTGATGGAAGAAAAATAAATGTCTCGAAACTAGCATCTATTTGAAAAGTTTCCTTTTCAAAACAACGTCTCATGAGCAGACTGTAACACAAGCAGAGACTCCTGGAAGCCAGAAATATACACACCTTGTCCTAATAATCACATGGTAGAATGCAAAACTAAACAGTTGGTGTTTTTCTACGGCTTTTGACCCGAGATGTTGCAGCTGGACCGGAGGCCCTGCAGACATGAGAGACTGATTCAATAAAGCTGTTTCATCTGGAGGCCAGGGAGCACCGACTCTAACAATGAAAGTTTGGGGTTTTTCTCTCCAAAAGGCTGGAGACAGAAGAAACATGTAAGCAGAGGTGGACAGATGTCTTTTGTATAAAAGTGAAAAAAAAATAAAGAGGAAAAAAAAATGCAGACACAAAAGGACGGAGTCATGAGAAGCATGACGAAGCGCAGAGAAAAATCTGGAAATGTTCCCCGTGCCTTTGTCAGTTTCCAGGCTCGGCTCCACGGTTACTGTAAACTCTGACTCTGAAGGAAGAAAGGACAACGAGGACATGTGCTGCGTATTACTCAGTCCCTGTCTTCTTCTTCTTCAGTTCCAGGTTCAACAACTACACAGATACGTTGTCATTTATAAACTGTCGAAACCTGGAAATGTGCCTCAAAAAAAGGTGTCAATCTCACCCTCAGGTGATTTTAATAACCCCGCCCCCCTGACTGAAAAGCCCCACCCACACTGCCACTGCTATCTGTCATTTTTTTTGCTGTGTTTCAATAATATTCAAACCAAAAGCTAAGCACAGCTGTTCATTTAGCACAGCGCTAAATGAACAGCGGCTAATATAACGTAGACACTTGAGGCACTAGAAGTGTGTCGTCATCTGTTAAAACACATAAAAGTAGTAGAATAATATGTGGCCTTAAAAGCTGAAATTTGAAGAGAGTTCATCAGATCTTTTGACGACTAGAGAAAATGCCGCGTCGCATTTTTAACAGGTACTGAAGGAAAATGATGGCAGCTTGTTGGGGGGGAGGAAATGAAAATGTGCTGAGTAGAGTGTGAGGCTGAGTGTGTTGCTGTATAAGTGTGTGTGATTGATTGCACATGTAGCAGTACGGCATACGTGTGCGACTGTGCACTCCGTGAGTCAGGAACTCCTCCTCCCTCTGACAGAGAAGAATGAGCCGATGGAGTTATCCAGCTCACCTCAGTGAAACCAGACGAAAAGGTATGAGAAAATATATATATATATATATTGTAGGAGAAGAGAAAATAATGAAAATAGTCAAGAGTGCTTGTTATGACAAGGCCGTCCTTTACAGAAAATTGGAAAAAACATTGAAAGGAGTGTAAAGAAAAGGAACAGAGAGCAGGAGATGGAAGTGAAGCCGATGTGAAAACAGCAGCGACTCAGTCACGGAAAGTGCACTGTTCTCAAGCTGCAAAAACAAGATCAAGTAGATGAAAACTAAAAAAAAAAAAAAAAAAAAAAGGTAGAGGGGAATTTGGAGACAAAGTGTGAAAGAGTCCAGGAATGAAGGAAAGGGAAAAGTTGCAACCAAGCGACGACAAACAACAGCTGGAGAGATGAAGAGGAAAGCGCTGACGTGTGCATTCGCTCCAGCTGTTCATTAAACGGCTCTGTCGCTAATTAGGCCGCGCTGAGGTCACACCGCCCGAATCATCGATTCCACTTCCTGTTTTGGGCAGCCACTAGTGCAAAGATGTCAGGTGGGCACCTGAATTCTCTGGGATGATAAATGACATACGAGCTGGGGCCAAAATCAACAACCCCCCTGCCCCAGACAAACAAGGAGAGCTGAGCTACGGGCCGGTCAGCATCGGGCCGGATCACAGACACAAGGGGAACTGAGTCAAAGACTAAAAACTGAAAAATTTACAACACACTTTCTAAGAGCATATCATACCTGGAAATATTTTGAGGAAAAAAAATCTCAATGTCACAATAAACCAATGAGAATTCACAACTTTTAAGTAAAATAGAACAAAACGCAAAGACTCAAAATCAACTGTTCTCCAACAAGCAGTAAGGTACATTTTTTTAACAATCATATTTTAAAAAGTTCAACTCTTTTTTGTGGTGCCCCCTACCTTAAATATAGGGTACAACAGCAAACAAAAGGTAAATCTGATCCCCCAGGATTTTAAGAACACTTTTGAGTTCATGTAATATAAAAAGAAAACTTCACGACAAAAATCTATTCCAATTTCAGACTATTTTCCACCAGGAGGACTGCCTCACAGCACAGACCTCTCTGTAGAGCCAGTCTGTTGAACCAAGCAGAGACTGCCGCAGTCATACAGCCAGTCTGTAGAACCAAGCAGAGACTGCCGCAGTCATAAATCCAATCAAACAGTGGTGCATGGTCTACAGCAAGGCCATGCAGGCATGGCCACTCACTGAGGGCACGGTCATCGAGCCACTTTGTTAATGCCTGCATAAGTGATCGCGCGTGTGTGTGTGTGTAGTAAAAAGTGCCCGTGTGACATTCCGCAGTACGCTCTGTTTGTGAGCATCTGTGCATGCAGACAGAGGTGACGCCAGGCTGAGCCGAGCTGCTGCTGCTGTTCCTGAAGGTGGAAGTGACCGTAACGGACGATAAAGAGACTCTGGAGACTCACCTGAAGTGGCCAATCAATCTGCTGCAAGCAGTGGCAAGGCTGGACTAAAGAGAGGCCGAGATAAGAGTTCCCCAAGGTAAAGGTGCGAGTGTGCGCGCGAGGGCCACGTGGCTATAACAATACATCCACACTATAGACGTTTGGCAATCAAACTGTGGACCGGTCCAGCCCTGCTGTGGTTGGAAGAAAAAAAATAGAACAACTACAGACAACAACAGAAGGAACTCTTCTTTCACTCCGTCACTAGCTGCCCTTCCTGGAAATGTTTACCTTCTTTCACTTCACTCCTCAAAAATGTCCTCTATGTTTAAGATTTTATTCCCGTAAAATTACACGTAACTTTACACACAATTCTGAGAAAACTGAGACTTTACCCTTAAGAAACTTCAAGTATTGTTGCAAATGTATTTCGATAAATGTACAATGTTATATTAATAACTTTTTTCACATAAAGTACCAAAAAAAATCTCAATCTTGGACTTATTTCTTTTAAATTTATTCTAAAATGCTCCTAAAATTTGTTGACTTTTTTTCTCATGACCGTGATTCTTCATTCTCATTAACTTGTTAACTTTTTGTCTGCAAGCTTAACAAACTAAATGCGTCCAAACTCCTGTGAGACACTGTGACACTGCCCCCTACAGGCAGCACACGACCAGGCACAGAGACGTTTAGGGTCAGCGCAAAGCCAAAGGAACCTTCAACCCTTTAAGCCCTTTTTGCTGCATACAGAAAGAAAAAACTGCAGTGTGCATAAAGAGTCAGAGAGTGATAATAAATAATTTAATTAGCTTTAGCCGCGTTCAGAGGTCATATTTGAGGAGATGAAAGCCTGTACTCCGCAGTTCTACTTTTAGAAATTGATTCTATCTTAGAGTTTATTAAAAGGTCAGGAGTAAAAAAAAAACAACTAATGTTTGATAGTGTGGGAAAGATGTCTGCGTCTCGAACCACGTTTGATGCCGCTCACATCTTATATCTATTTTCACTGTGCGACTGCTTAATTACTCTATAAATTGTTCTGAAGCCAGCAGCATGTGCCTGTCTCTGTGATCTGGGAGCAGTTTTTAAATCCAAATCTGCTTTGCCAAGTTTCACGCCAACTCTTTCAGAGTGGCACCACCGAGCACCAAAGGATTCTCTCAAAGTACTATTAAAGATAAGACCGTTTCAAAAGGGAACGTTCTGTGTGGCGAGAGTGTCCTTGACTCCTGATTGACCCACAGATTGTTGGAAGCTTTGAAAGCTGAATGTTAAGGAGTAACACTCCCATTATAACAATAACCTTTTACCAGAGACTTCTGTGGATTTTTTTTTAACATCAGAATGAAGCCACACCTGATCCTGTAAAAACTGAGAAAAGCGTAGCTTCGTAGTCTGCAGTTCAGATTCGTCTCCTACTGAGCACATCACGTCTTTATTAAAGCAGGATTAAGGAAAAAAGTTACTTGAAAAAAATATTTTTTTGTGTCACTAATTCAACGAATTACACTGACATACCATTACTATTATTATTCCACTGATTATCAGAGGATCAATCGGGGCTACAGTGGGACAGAGGTATGCTGAGTCAGCTCTAGGCAATCTGGTAATTGCAAGACTAACGTTTGGCGCCCCCTTCCTGTTCATTAGATTTTTTTCCGACCGTTTACAACATCTTCCCCTACAGCAGATGGCGCTCTACCAATGACTGTACTTGAAAACCAATGATCTGATTGTTGGATAGTCCTCCATGCCCAAATGAAGAGACTTTTCTGGTAAAAAGTAAACATGTCCCACCTCTGGAGGTATAGGGTCCAGTCCAGCACAGTTGTCGTTGCACTTGTCGTAAACCAGGCGGAGCTTGCGGAAGAACACGGAGAGCATGTGAAGGTGCTCCTGGAGTTTGGCCAGACGGTCCTGGTGGGTGTTAGGGTGGTAGGTGACTCCATTAGGCAGCTGGAGAGCAGAACAAAAGGGGAAATGTTGGGAAACAGCACCAGTACCAGTAAAGTTCAGTGCTAGGAGTTTGTTAGTGCTAATAAAAGGCAACCATTATTGATCCCCGCTGCCAACAGCAACACAGAGAGCCCGTTGTTCCCCCACTGTTTACAGTTCATTAGTGGAACATTCATCTAATGGGAAAAATATGTGCTTTAATTTACACCCGGGACAAAAAGTGTCTTTCCTTTTGCTGCAGGCAGAGTGGAGGCCAAAAAAAATGTGTTCAACATGCCTGCAATCACGCAACAATATAATCGTGACAGCTTAATAATGCCACAATTTCATCGACTGAAAACACACTCAATCAAAAGGTTAAGTGCTCTGAATGTTTTCTCTCTCCATCACAGTCAGGCACCATCACAGGCTTTTAACTATAATGAAGGTAAACATGTAACGAGATATGTTTTTCCTCTGATGCTGGGGATCAACAAGCCCACGGGGCAACACTGTGATTACAGACACTCTGCATAACATGAAACAAGTCTGCCTTCAGGCCAAGCTGAGGGAAGATGGGGAAACACAGGGGAGACAGACAAGATACAAGAGGATGGGGGGGTAGGGGAGGTACAATGAATGAAGAATTACAGCGTGTGATCTTAAAAAAAAAAAAAAAAAAGCAAGTTGCAGCATTGCATTTTGTGTCTATGCGACCCTGGGGTAGCTCGCCTGGCTTCAGCCTCGTCTCGGGCTGTGATTTAATATGGTGCAGGAGGAGCGTCTCAGAAAAGCTGGCCGGCATCCATGATAAACTCACGCTGACCTCAGCACTGTCAGCGCTGAACTGCACATGAACCGCAAACCGGAGTGATATAAAAAGGCTAACATCCTGAATGAAGCGCTCGGAGAATTCCATCGGCCTGACTTTTGAAGTTGAAACCCACTATCTGCCCACTCTCCATTATAGTCAACTAATCATACAGCATGTTTTTTTTTTTTTACATAATTCTCTCTGTACAATAATTCAAAGAAAATAGTATTTTTATACATATAATAAATTACGAACCAGATATAACACCACAGTCAAAAAGAGATATTTATATTTACCAGGATACAGAGAGAGAGAGAGATTATTCTATTATTCTACTTCATTTTGATGTACACTCTGATAAGAATTTCCTTTAAAATATATATAGTTCTCTTTATCTGTGAGTGTAACAACACTGTCTCCCAAGTTGTTCTTACAGCTGTCCCCTGAATTCTCCCACGTCATCGAACCAAGTGACTTGTTGTCATTAAAAACTGTAGCTTAATGGAAACACTGTACAATCAAAAATATAACATCAACTCCTTCTGGTCTACTGTCATGGTAATTATGGCACATGGAGAAAACCTCCAGCCTGCTCTGACACAGCAATTCTTACAGCTGTCCTCTGAATTCTACCACGTCATCGAACCAAGTGACTTGTTGTCATTAAAAACTGTAGCACTGAAGGCTAAATATTGAAGATTATCATAAATATTTACCAAATGAAAGTGAGTAACAGTGAGAGAGAAAAAAAACAACAACTCTATCTGCTTTATTTTCATAGACTCCAGTGCATTTTTAGAGCAAATGTATCTGTAATTGTGAAAAATTGATTTTCTCAGGTATCGCTGCAGCAAAGTCAATTCCTCTAAAGTGTGAGTTATAGCTCAGATTTAAACTGTACAGAAACCAGCACCGGAGCTCCTGATAACATTAACAACGACTCTGTCTGGCTCAGTGCTCCAGTCCCATTATGCACATTATCAGGACTCCAAAACCGGAGCAGCTGTATGTAATGCATTTCATGTATCATTAATTTTACGACTCATACCTGTGCTTCTCCTACTGTCTGAAATAAAAAAGCAATTTGGGAGACAGAATACAGGGCGAGACCAAACTAGTTAACTATTAGACACACAATTTTCATTTTCATTTAATTTGCCACCGTATGTTTTTGGTCAAGTGTAAACAAGTGAATGTAGTGATAATAAACTGGTTTATTGTCTGAGCAGAGAACAGAGAGTGAGGGAGTGGGACTCACCTGCATGTTCCTGAGGAGCTGGAAGATCTCCATGGTCCTGAAGACAATGTCTTGGACCGTCTCCTGACCGATGCGGCACAATGAGGCCGTGTTGACATCCCGTGCAGCCGGAGGTTGTGGCGGCGGCGGTGGCGGCTGCTGGGGCTGCGCGCCAAAAGGCGTCACTATTGGAGGGGTTGTCATGGAGACGGTGGATGATTGTAATGGGGATGTGGGTGTAGTTCCAGGTGAGGTTATCCTTCAGGCCATTACACACCAGCACACACTAACACGCCTTGATAAAATGTTGAGAAGAACTCATCATCAAGGAAGAGAAAATTGAACCAAACCTGAAAGAAACATCAAAATAATTGTTAGATTTCTATTAAAACCTTAATAAAATAATATAACAAACATAAATAAATAATAACAAACGTGACCAAATGATAACATTTTCATACTTGGACCAACTTTTTTGGTGTTGTTAAGCCTCCATTTACTTTATCCTGCTATTTTTGCTCCACTTTACCAATTTAAATACTGTTAAATCATTATGCTTTTGACGTATTTCTGGATAAGTGAGCAATTTTCTCTATATTTCTGAGTAATAACGGGGTACAGGGTAACATGTGGCCACGTTTGCTATGATTATGTAAACCTTCGTTCAGACGTACAGTTACATAACTCCTTCGTAATCTCCTAAAACCAGAAAAGCTAAGAAAATACTGTTGTAAAGATTTTAACAGGTTTACACATGCAACATATTTACTTAAACGTAAAGAAATAGGGATTATTAAATTGGCACTCAATGAGTTTTAACCACTGTGCTAACAATTTTAGCCTTTAAAATAAGTAAAAAGCTGTTATTTTAAAACCACAATGCATTTGCGTCAGTATCGGACTGCTCTGTGACCAGACGTCGTTTTGAAATTTAAATAACACAACTTTACTCGATGTCAAAGTAACGGACTTCATTTAATTACGCTGGAAAGTGCAGCTGGTTGTAACCACAGCTAATGACACTCCACAAACACACGCGACACAACTGATTTCCCTTCATTCGCCTCGTTTCTGTTCAAATCGGCGTCAAACAACACTCCAACAACGCAGATTTGATTCTGATGTATCCATAAAGTTATAAAACACAGTAAAATGTTACCTGTAGGCTGAAAAACTATTGGTTTGTTGACATGTCCAGTCTCCCTGCTCCCTCCTTGGAGCTCAGCTGCTCCACGTATCGCGAGAGTTCGACATCATTTGTCGTAATGAACAAAATAAATCCTCCACTTCAAGTTTGTTCAAATCATTTCGTATTGTTTTAGTTACATAAATACATTTAAAATATATCCCAAGTTAAAACTTAACCCATTTTCTAAATATATATTTATTTTAAAATGCTTTAAAATGCTAAGAATTAAACGTCTTCTCACCAAACATTCAACTCAGTCGTCATTACGGTAAAGTACCGCGCATGGCATATTTGGTCTCAAAAAACAGGGTTACAGCGCCATTTACTGGTGATTGTCAGAAACAAAACACATACCTAATTATTTTATATGCATTTCTGTCAAACTATTATTCAAATAAATCTGAATATGTTATAATTACTATAATCAATTACTTTTTTAAACGATTTATTCTGCTGTTTTAATACATACTTATTTCTATATGACCTATGTCAAATCATAACTCAATTTTAATTCACATATTTATGAAGCCAAACATATTTATGACAAAAAAGAATATAGCCTAAGGTTTATTTCCTTTCACTCTTTTTATCATTCAAATTTCTTATCTGTTAAACTAAACACAGAGTAGCATACCATAGATCATTGCTTGCAATTTTCAAGGACTGAGTCCTGGTTGGATAGTTTTTTTTTTTTTTGTTTTTTTTTTAATATCTGTTAATATATTAGAATATATTCCAAGTCCTTAATATCTATAACAGCTTCTATGTCTCACTTTCAGACAAAACTTTAATGTAAATTAGCTTTTTAAATAAAGCTTCCAGTACGATTGTATTTTCAGACAACTGTGTAAAAGAAAATTAGTATTATTGCCAGAGATGGTCCCTAGATATGTAACAAAAATCACACAAGTAGTCTATTTGCATTTTTGGACTTGCACAAGCAGGATAATAAAAACTAATCACTATTTGTTATTGTTCCAACTCCAATAATCAACAGGAAAGAACAATATTAATGTGTATACCTGCCTCCACCCTCTCAGTGTTACTGCTCCTGTGTCCTAATTAAACACACCATGAAAACAGACTGGGGAAAACTCTTTCCAAAAGGGCACGCCTCAGTTGGTCAGGAGCCACAGCAGATGGGGACTGTAAGAGTAACACTCACTCATCCTGGCAACTTAACCAGTGCTCTCTATGCAGATAGGAGGTTATGGAGATTCGGCTGAACTCCAAACTTTTTAATTTATACGACTTTTTCCCAATGTCTTAACTCTGTCATTGCCGAGCCATTTTAACTTTACTTATAGTTCACCATGTAAGTTCACCCTAACAAAGGCAATAAACTCATATTTATCATAACTATATCTTTACGGTTCTCAAATTTCCTATGGCACCTAAACGCCCCTCGTGTTCCCTATCGTAACCGGAAGGCCTAGTTTGTTACGTACACGCCACTCAGTGGGCCCGTATTTTAAAATATATATAAATACAAATGTATTTTCTAAAATGAATATTGGGACATAAAGCTTTTGCGATATAGCGAACCACATCTTCTGCTAGCCTACACTGTTTTGCGCCGTTTATATGTACTTTGTCGACCAAACGCTGTTACGTTTGTATGTACCTTGTCGACCAAACAAATTTCGAGATGCAGTTTATTCTACAAGCTAAGAAAACTAGGTCGGGTGTTATGTGTTTGGTTGACATGCAATATTGTTGTGTTAACTTTTTTTTTGTTTTCAAACGAAGTGGCTGGGCTTACCTTGTTAGCTCGGTTCGAATCCCACATTTTCCCGCTGAAGTTACCATGCGGTCTTCTTCACGTGACGCATTTCCTGTCCGTACGCAGGTACAGCAGCAGCTCCGCCTACTTCCCGCCCGCCCCCCACGGATACAAAGAGTGGATGACTGACAGGAGGATTCACCCCGCCCATTCCGCTATGGAACAAACGCGCCCATGTCCTCAGATCGATGCAAAGAGTGAACGATCTTGTCATCCAGCCTGGAGACGAGGAAAACAAATTATAGTAATTATTTTCATTTTCGTGAGATTTATTGATTCGTCACAGGCCTAAGTGATGTATGAAATCTAGCCTCTATTGTAACACTAATGTGAATAATGTCATTTTTTTAGTGATAGGCGTCCTTATCCTAATCCCTTTTAAGGCCCACTCAGGCCTGAAGAAAAAGAAAATCCCTTTCATTTTCCATAAACCTCTTATTTCCCGTTTTTGCTGCATGACTGGAAAAGGAGCTTTGTACAATGTACTGTAGACATGTCTTGCATCTCAAATTAATTTGTATTGCATTGGCTCACACATTAATCTCAGCTCTCACCACTCAGATGCTTTATGTTGTTCTTTTTTTTTATTGTATTGCCTTTTAACCATGTAAGGCATACTGTAGGCCAGCTACAGTAGCCCAGAAAGGTCAAAACTGAAATATGCGTAAATATTATTGTGTCAGAAACACTGGCAGCTCTGGTGTTTACAGAGACAAGCTCACAAAGGGCAATACTGCAAAAGGTGATGAAGACCAGGTGATGACATCCACAAAAGAAAAATGACCTGTGGAACAGACTTGAATGGACATGGAGATAAACATACTTTTTTCTTTATTGAATAATATATTTCCGATCCCACATCTGACCACAGGTACATTCATTTTGTCACAGTCCGTACAGAGGAATAATTATTCCCCGTCTTTATTTACATATAAAAGCTTTGTGAAGGATGTGTTGCTGTTCTGGTTTGGTTTGGTTTAATATCTAAAACAATCAATACTGTTAGAACCGTCCTGGATGTGCACAAGGTAAACACTGCAGAGTAACTTTCTGTTTTTATACAGTATACACTGTATATATAAAAATGAAAACAAGTACATGTAAAAAAAAAAAAACCTTAACATGGGAGCAGAGAAGAGAGTGTTACGATTTACTGGGTCCATACATGTTGCATATCCGTTGTAAATTTAAATTTTAAAAATCATGCGATTGTCAAAACAACAGTATAAATGTGCAATTATTTTTGCAATATTCTACTATTATTACTAGTACTACTTCAGAGGCAGATCCTACTTCCTGGGGTCCTCACACAGGGTACATCCAGGTTTCAGGTCGGCCTGTCTCTCCATCTGGATGGTCACAGAGTGGAAGTTGAAGGTGGAGTAACAAGTCTGCGTCATTTCACTGAGCACAGTCTGAGCGTCCGCTGATTCGTCTGCAAAGAGAAGGAAAAGCAGGTCATAGGAATCATAGCTACTGATGTTTAGCCAACCTGTGTGTGTTTAAGGATACTCCTCTATTGTCAACACTAAGAAACAGGACATGATTATTACTGCGGTCTTCAGACTGAACGTTCACACGTAATGACTTCCTTCACAAGTTACACGTTAAATACAAGCGTTTAACTTTATATCTGTAAAACAAATGCTACAACAATAATTCTTTAAATCCTATTTTTAAGGTCAAATTCTGCCCTCACAGCCCCCTCCCTCTGAATACTGCCCACACTGATAGGACTGATCCTGAGAATTAACAAAACCATTGTTGCACGCCTGTTTCATCTCACCTATGGCAACGTGTGCTGTCATGACAGCCTGGTTCATAGTGAGGGCCCATATGTGAAGGTTGTGGACCGCTGTGACCCCCTTCACTGCTAACAGACCTTCTCGCACCTCGCCGTAGCTCACCCCTGCTGGAGCACCTGAAAAAGACAAAAATAATAAATAAATAAAATAAGTGGGTAAAGCTATTATTTTGTTTTCAATGTTTTACAGTAGAAACCTAATTTTAAACAAATTGTGTGACACTGCACTTTGAATAAAAATGTGAAAATTTGATTGCTGTTCTATGTGTAAGCCCATGCCCCCAGCCTGGACTCTAACATTTGACCTTCATCTTGTAAGGCTACAAGACAAACCGCTACATGACCATGCAACTGTGCTATATAAGAAAAAAAAACAACTTTGCCTCAAGTTTGAATACAATTACAGAGAAGTGAACCTATAGTTATTCTCACTGTGATGGAACAGGGACATTAAGATAATATAGATTTAGTCAAAGACCCCTTAAAGCAAATGTGATTAAGCCGAGTCCATCCATCTTTGTAATAAGCACATTAGAAAAAGTGTAACATTCGACTGAGCTGCTCAGGTTACTGCACTTTAATTAAGCAGCGTGGGCCGAGCTTTTAAATAACACCATGCATCATGTACTTTGTAATAACGCTAAGCAAAAACAGCAGGTGAGAAACTGCAGAGTTGGGTTACATTAACAGATAAAACCAACAGCAGCTGTGTTGTCTCTGGTGCTGCAGCCTCCGTCCAGTGAAGGTTGAACCTTCTCTGTTGTATAAAGAATAATTATCACAGAACCAGTGGAACGGAGCGAGCGTCGGAGCGAGCGTCGGAGCTCACCTTCCATCAGGACGATGACGATGTCTCTCATGATGGTGAAGGTGGTGCAGAGCACCAATATGGAGAAGAGGAAGGTGCAGATGGGGTCGGCTATCTTATATTCAGGCTGGAAGAACACAGACCACACAGAAAGTGAGACGTTTCACTGATTTTCTCCCGAAACGTCCTTCACTGCATGAAAGTCAAAGCCTTTCCAGTGACTAGGGGTGTATACTGGCAAGAATCTGGCCGTACCATACGTATCCTGATACAAGGGCAATTCTGGTTTTTCACTGGAAATATATACTTTGTATGAGATTATACGAGGTTTTCCACCTTGAAGAAGATGATGATGGCACTGACGACAACGCTGAGGCTCTGGAGAAGATCTCCCACCACGTGAACAAAGGCGGCTCTCACGCTGGCGTTGGCCTCACCTTCCATCAGGACGATGACGATGTCTCTCATGATGGTGAAGGTGGTGCAGAGCACCAATATGGAGAAGAGGAAGGTGCAGATGGGGTCGGCTATCTTATATTCAGGCTGGAAGAACACAGACCACACAGAAAGTGAGACGTTTCACTGATTTTCTCCCGAAACGTCCTTCACTGCATGAAAGTCAAAGCCTTTCCAGTGACTAGGGGTGTATACTGGCAAGAATCTGGCCGTACCATACGTATCCTGATACAAGGGCAATTCTGGTTTTTCACTGGAAATATATACTTTGTATGAGATTATACGAGGTTTTCCACCTTGAAGAAGATGATGATGGCACTGACGACAACGCTGAGGCTCTGGAGAAGATCTCCCACCACGTGAACAAAGGCGGCTCTCACGCTGGCGTTGGCCTGATGAGTCGTTCGTCCTGATGGGAAAATAACGCACATCACTATGAACCAGAATATCATTTGTTTTACATTTTAATTTAATACATCTTTACAATAGGCTGGACTGGATCAATATCCACTGTGATGTCAGATTAACTTATTCTAATTGTAAGCCTTTTTGACTATATTCTGTTTATTTATTGGCTAATTTTTGAGCCATTTGTTGGCTAGTTGCTGCTCATATTATCAAAAATTGCAATTTCCTAAAAAAATTTTTTTTTTCATTTTTTGCAATATTCATGGTCATGCTTAAATTAAATTAAATGAAGCCAAGTCAGTTAATTACCATGATTTCCTGCGTTGTGCTCCGCATCCAGGTGGTTGTTAATGGCCTCATTTTGACCTTTGCTGCTGTGACCGTGGCTGTGACCGTGGCTGGAGCCGCCATGACTGTGGCCGTGACCTGACTGGTGCAGGGTGAAGGCCATGCTGCCAAGAGTAAAGAGAGTATTTGCACATATTCAACCCCCACAGCTGATGAATTGCTGCTCTGCACTGACTTCAGACTGATACAGGTGACACACATTGGTTCCTCTTCAACTTACATGATATTGACCAGTACGGCACAGCCGGACGTTATCAGCATGATGGTGCCGTCGATGGTGTAGTCGTCGCTGATGATGCGCTCGACAGCCAGGTACACCAACACCCCGGTTACCAACCAAATGGTGAAGATTGACAGCAGGGCCCCCAGGATCTCTGCAAGTGGGATTGAATTCAAGTTGGAGGGCTGGTGTGAGGACAGAACAGAGATCAGCCAATCACACACCGACAGATCAGCAGTACCTGCTCGGTGCCAGCCGTAGCTGAGCTTGTGTGTAGCGGGTCTGGAGGAGAGCCACAGGGACAGGAGGCTGATGATGAAGCTGGTGAAGTCCACCAGTAGGTGGGCGGCGTCTGTCATTACCGCAAGGCTGCCCGCGAAATACCCACCTGTGCAAAGACGCAAGAAGTTCTATTTTTTTTTTTAACATCACTTCAGGGTAAATGCAGTGCACCCTACAGGACGGGTGAGGCAACTGCATGCTCTCTTTAAATCTACAGGTATAATACATATACGTATATATATATATTAGTTAATGTAGAAATAAAATGTTGAAAGATGAAAATTACCGAGTATTTCTCCGACCATGAAAACCACACAGACGACAGAAACCACACACAGCCTCTTCCTGGCAATCTTCTTCTCCTGCTCACGGTCGGCCTGAGCATGACTGTTGTCATGGCAGTGTTTGACATCACCTTTACTCTCCACCGGGTGGGTCACACTGAGGTAAAATAACAAAAAAACAAAAACAAAATCAAGTCAATAATATTAGTATTTTTATTAGGTTTTTACTAAAAGACAATGTCGACGGGTGATCGGAAAAAGCCAATCCTGAAAATATTTGACAGGCAGTCAGTTGGGAAACTTTAGCAAGGGTGTGGAAGAGGCTGTGTGATGGCTTGGGGCTGTATTTCTTTGGTTTGAAATTGAAGACTCAAAGACTGCAGGGGAAGTGCTGCACGCAATAAGTTAATCTTTCAGCTAAGAACAAATCATTAAGAACGCTTACACGAGTTCTACTTAAATAATTTACTCAAGAAACGCTACTTTAAAAACAAAGTCATCACTACTACAGACATAACCAGTGAACCCTGCTGTGGACACTGACTCATCACATTATGCCGCCTCTGGTGGTAAATAGTTGTTGTCCCATTATCTGGCTTCTGTGTATCTAAGATGTCAAACAGAACAGCTGTGGGAATTTTACAAACACACACACACACACCCAAGAGCCTATATATAAATATTGGTTATAGAGTGTAGTTAGGGATCATCTCATCATAGGGAGGTGAGGTTGTCGGTTTGATTCTTAATAACACAACCAGCCAGTTTGGCTTGAATTGAGATCTTAAAGCAGAGTCAAATACCAGTGGTGGCTTTGAGTTAAAAAAAAAAACACAAAAAAAGATGTATGATTTAAATATGTTTAAAATAATTAATAATATTAGTATTTAAAATTAATAATTAATTATATAAATATAAAGGTAAATGTCTAATAAAGTCGCTACTTTAGCTACAATTAGCCAGAATTATAGCAAAGTTTGTCATAAACAAAATGTTATCAAAACTCAACACAATGCTAAAAATCTAACAAAATAATAAAATTAAATCAAATTAAAAACAAAGAAAGGAGAAGCTAAAATATAGTGAAGGAGGCTGTTAGCTAAAAGACGGAGAGAAGCTGGGGGGGATATTACAGAAACAAAATGACAACACTTTGTCAAACACACACACACAAACACAAACGTTTCACCAGAGGGCTGTGTGCAGAGACCAGTCCAGCAACATGGTCAGTGCCGTGGTAGGGAAGCAGTACTGTGCACACATCCCTCACAGTTCAACTGTGATGCTGTCGGCGATATTTGCACACAGCTTTAACCCCAAGCCCCCCCTCCAACGCCCTCAAAACGGATTAGATCGGATTGAAAAATCCTCCACTTAAAAAACAAAATCAGAGAAACACTGCACCAAAGGTCTGACCAGGAAAGTTGGTCAAACTCATTAGTAACTCAAATTAAGACATAAAACCAAAGATGATGACATTTTAAAGCTACAGTCTCTCGCATTTTCTATATTCCAGGGTGATTAAAAATAAAAAAGAAGAAGAAGAAATGAGTCGTTCAAAGTTTACCTGTGGCCGGAGGAGTAAGTGCTGCTCACATCTGTCACCAGTGGAAGTTTTTCCGGATTCTTTCTTTTGGACATGACTGATGAAATGGATGAACAGTGCTTAAATAAAAAAAAAACTCACAAAGGGTCAAAAAATAATGTTAAAATGGAGGAGTTCAACGTAAAACTGCGTCACTAAGAGGAACCACTAACTAAAAAATAGATTTTTTTTTTTTAAATCTACTGTCAAATGTCCTGTTCAACCTGCTTCCACCCAGGAGCTGCGGGAGCTTCTGGAAGCAGCCGGGCTGCTAACAGCTGAATGTTTGCACCAGCCTTGTGACCAACATTATTTGCGCCGTGTGCAAACGCACCGCCGCCAGCGGCGCAGTCTGTGCGCAGCGCAAACAGTGTAGGATGTGGTGCAACATTAGAGACGGACGTTTCAACATTTGTGATGCTGCAGGAAGCAGTTAGTAACATCAACTCCCGTGTGGTCAAGACAGCGAAGTTCAGCTGAGTGTATTTTGAGTTTGCGCCTAAGGGCTTGCGGCGCCAACCCCCTCCCCATACCCCGCCCCTCTGTAGTGTCCAGCCGGCACTTGATGATTAAGTAATCGAACGCGGTGCCGTGTGCTTTTTCTCCCTGATACGTCACATGGTCGCCCCTCAGTCAACCTTCCAGACCTTTCTTGTCCAGAAGGTCCTGACTGGGAAATATAAAATAATATCAAACTGTGATAATTAAGACTGTAATGTAGAGGTAAAATGTACTGTATTTTAAACCAATTTTTAAATTAATTTAACATATAAATAGCCACAATTAAATGTAGAAAAACATCAAATAATTAAAATAAATGCAGTTATTAGAAAAATCTGTATAGAACCTATATTATACTGAGACATGCTCAGTGCTAAGGTGTAGCACACATGCTAAAAATACTGTAGTTATAGTGAAAAAAACAAAGACAACTGTTGCTTTGATAGCGCTCACCTTATTATGTCACAAGGTGGCGGCAATGAGAATAAAAAGATCGATGTCTTATTGTAAATATTACATTCTATAGTTTTATTATTACATTCATACTGTGATGTAACAGGAAATAAAGTAAACTTTGCATCATTTTGTGTTACTTTGTGGTTATTTTAAATTGAATACTAATTAATAATTAATAATTCATTATTGTGTCTACAAAATAAAATACTCAAATTTAATGCAGCCACAATTTTGTATTCACCTCAGATCATTTTTAATGTATGTTTTTATTTTTAAGGCAAATAAAACCTAAAGGTAAAGTTAGCAAAGAAAGACATTTTAATTGTTTGTTTTTAAGTATTTTACATATCTTTATATAGTGTTGTCTCAAATACAACCTTATTTTTTCACCATTGTTTTCAGCACATCTTCACTGACACCTGTGACGTCACGGCTCCTGGACCTTATCTCAGTGATCCTTTGTCTACTTGACAACAGCATTAACCTGGAGAGCCACTCACGCTGAGTCCTGTTGGCTGCCTTCACCTATTCTCTCCCCGTGCTGACGTACGTCTGTGTTGAAAACCTCTAAAAGTGGAATCGGCTTGGCTCTAAAAATAGCTCCCTGTGTCTTGGGCCGGTTTCAATGGATGTTGACTGTGAACTCGGAGAAGTGGGTCGGTGTTTGGGCTGCTGTTTGCCAAGTTTAGACTCAGTCAAAGAATAAAGGAGTGCTGCGTTGCTAAGAGGAGCAGACTGAGGGGAGAGTGGCACGAAAAGGGTTAGTTACACATGACTGTTCACACTGTTGTCACTGGGGATCAAATCAAACCAAATTACTTCTCATTCTCCATGTTGGTCGCTCCTGATGACAATCCAATCTCCATGGTAGCCGCCTGTCTTCAAGAGTTTCCCTAAACCCTAGCATCACAGGTTGGAGTTATCATTATCGTCATTGTGATGATAATTATCATCACCATTATAATGTGGTCATTGCTGTTGTACCAGAACCCCTACCCTGAACCCATCTGTCACTCTGACTGCACAGGTCACCACTGCCTGGCCGTCCTCATGTGTGAATTACATTAACTGTCACTGCGCATGCTCTGCACCACCCCCAATTACTTCTCTGCCGCTCCCAACTCCTTCATAAAGTAGCACAATCCTTCTAGCTCTTCAATTCAGTGTTAGCAAAAACACGACCAAAGACACAAATGAAAATAATTGCATATTTTAAATGAAGCAGAATGAAAAGAAAAGTTAGTAAAATTAGAATAGTAGAATTAGAATGAAAAAAACAAGTAAAGAAAAAGTGGGTTCTTTGGTTAAAGATTAATTGATTTCAACTGTTTTCCAGGTGCAAAACCTCATCAACATTAAGTTGTTGTTCAGTTGACGTCAGTCCTTTTGGTATGTATGTATTCTGTCTCCACACCAGCTTCTTTTCACATGCCAAAATCCTAGTCATTTTATGGATGGACCAGAGTTGGCACCGTGGAAACCACCTCTCTCCTCCCTCCTCTCCATCCCATTTACCCTGTGTGTAAAAGGGCCCCTAAAAGTGGTAAACAAGCCCTAGGTCAGACCCGGGGGACAATGCACTGACGTCAGTCCTGCTCCGACACATTCACACTCCGCAGCACGGCTGAGGATCCATGTTTGAGTGACAGACAACAGACAATAAAAAAAGAGAGGGAGAGAGTGGGAGATCACAAGTTCCACATAAGAGCAGAGATCTTCAGCCAGAGGAGAGCAGACGAGGCTGTAACTTCACTACAGCTGAGGAAACACCGACATCGACTAACCCTAACCCTAACCCTCCAGACCATGATGGAAGTGGTCCTCACCAGACTGCGGGACTTCTCCTGCAAGACCTCCACCTTCGAAGACTGTAAACAAGCCGGCCGGAGCTCCTGCAGGGACCGCGGGACCAGGACTGAGCACCACCTCAGTGAAGAAGCTGCAGCTGGAGGAGGAAGAGGAGGAGGAGGAGGACACAAACTGGACATAGAGAGCGCCCTGGCCTGGCTGAGGAGAGAACTGGTAACAATCTCTCCGTCACTGAAGAATGTTCTCTAGAGTAGTACTTTAATGATAGCAGTTAAGAAACGTCTGGATATTTATTAGACACATATGAACATTAATACCAACCAGCAAGTAAATGTCAGTGTTTCTCAAATGATGGGTGGTGACCCGAAACTTGCACCTGTGTGTAGTTGTTTTCCAAAAGATTCATAAATGTTTATGTTTGAACATAAAGTTTTTTAGTAAAATATGAGGCATATTTATGTTTTTATAATTGAATTATTTATCCTAGAAATGAAATTAACTACCTGAAAGAGCTGCTACGTCAACAAGTCCTAGACCATAATAATACGTCTTTTGTGTGTTTACTAAGTATTTTTACCATGTAGTACTACAGTACTCTAGGACCAATATGAACCTGGGAGTTTTTGTTCGCCGTGAACTTCCACGTCTCGGTGCCAAACTGCATCTTTCAGCCACACTGGATTTATCTCCTCATTTGAAGCCAATAAACAAGACTGATGTGATGTTCAGCAGCCACTTAAAGTTGATGTGTGTTTGTTGGTCTGCTGCAGGGCAGACCAACAAACACACAAAAGTCAGCGGCCACAAACACAGATGAGAATAAAATATTAAACCGCCTCGACGGATGAAGACGAACAGTGTGAACGATGCTATAACGCTGCCTGTGTGTGGTCTGTCGACACCTGCAGGATTCTAGCCAGTACAAAAGCTTTTTTCTTTTTTTATCATCTGTTACGACAAAGGTTAAGACGTTAGTCACACTAACAAAATGGCCTCCCGGCGAACGCCTTTGTGTTCGGAGCCAAGTTATTGCTGTTTTGTTCCTAAGATGTGTGTAGGTCTCGCTGCCTTTACAACACCGCAGTCAAAGACGCTGTGTGTGTGTGTGTGTGACCAACTGTGTGTAGCTCATTGTCACGGACTAATATATCAGCAGGCTTTAAGAGTGTTCACCCAGACAGCCAGCCATGGTAACCAAGGACTGAGCACCCAGAGAAAGAGAAACCACACGCTTGAATCAGAGCTCGGCACAACAAAGAAAAACAGATTCTTCCTGGTTGGTTTACTGTAGTAAGAAGTAGGTCTGTGTCTGCCTTACTTGGTGTACATCAGTGTTTCCCAAACTGTGGGGCGGGCCCCACTGGTGAAGAACAGAGACATGAGTGCAAAAGTCAAAAAACTTCTCCTTGGGTCACAGTGAGTCTAATAATTAAAATGTATCTCTATGCAGACGATTCCATGCTCTTTACACTTGCTTTTGTCTTTTTTCCTTCTCGGTGTAGCTAAATAGCATTAAGTTAATCAAATATACCAATGAAAAGTCAACTGAGTAGCAAAGTAAACACAAAAATAATTAAAGGTTAACTGTACATAAAGTTTGTCAACTGTAATTGACGTACGAGTCGAGAACAGGGAACAAATTAAAAACATTATTTTTTACATTTGTCAGTAGCATGACACTGATGTTAGAGAGAAGGAAAAACAGTTTTTAATGTCATCCACAGTGTAAAAATATTCCTTATGAAATGTATTCCCTAAGTTTGGAATGTCTGTGTTGCTGTCGGCTCGGAGCCTGAAGCCTCACCACGAGGACACACACGGAGCTGCACATGATTTGTGAACGGCTGGTTTTCAGCCGGAGGAGTTCCGAGGCTGCGTCATCCGCAGCTGCCGACGCAGAAAAGTTCAAGTTTTTCTTTCTGATTTTTCTCCAACAGTCTATTGTATCTTTCACTCTGAGCCAGGTGCTACAATAAAGAGAGAACTGCCCCCAGACATTCCTGAGGCTGGGACCAGTCCGGACCCAGAAGTCCTTGGAATTCTGAATATCTTATTTTACAATGCCACCAATTAGACAGCCTTCGACGAGAGAGAGAAGGAAAGGGAACAGTGCAGAGAAAGATTTGCATTTGAAAGAAAGAAATGCTCCACTGAAACGGACGCCGTTTCTCACTGAACCTTCATCAGCGACAAATGAAGGTTCAATTC